GAAATTCTCCAGTTTTCCCCCCTAGGGTCAGCTTTTACAACCCACTGTTTCCTTATCTTTGCCTCAGGAACAAGATAAATATGTAAATATGTAACATTTCTCTAACTACAATTTGCAAAGAGAAGCATGCCATCATCTTACCAAAATGCGGGCATCTCTGAAAAATGCCAAATAAATTTTAATTATTTTGACCTTTCCTTTCTCAAGTTCCCCTCATACAAAAATAAAAAGACATGCTAATGTCATTCTCTCAAACTTGTTATGACAATCTAACCAAGCTACATGAACAATAATTTTTTTTATCACGTAGATTACCAGGATTAAAAGACCATGTGCAGAAAGGTTGGCTTAATGAAGTAATTTTGTGTGAGCATGGGCATGTGTAGAATGGAATGGAATACAATAGGAGAGTTGGAAGGCACCATACTCCTGCTCAGGCAAGAAACCCTTTCAGACATATTGGTTGTCCAATCTCTTCTTAAAAACTTCCAGTGTTGGAGCATTCACAACTTCTGGAGGCAAATTGTTCCACTGATTAATTGTTCTGTCAGGAAATTTCTCCTTAGTTCTAAGTTGCTTCTCTCAGTATAAATACTTTGTATGCATGCATATATGTGTATATAGACAAAGCTAAATATGATATATTTTAAAGGCATATACAGGTATAAATAACAAAAGCACAAATTTTAGAGCGCTATGAAGACTAATATATAGCTTTGTCTAACATACTTGATTTTTTAAGTCATCTGTTTTCTGCAACTGATTCAAACCAGAAGAATGTCGGTACACACATCTAAAACATTGTATTTTGAAAATTCACTGCCTTACTACACAGATGCTCAGACCTGCTCATCCAGGTCTTATCTGAGCTGCTTGCAAGAGCTTCAGCCCACCTCTGGAATGTGTCTTTTCCTTCCTCTTTCCAACTCAAGGTGTGACATGCAATGCACCCTGGGGGCAGTGTGTTGCACAGTATGCAAAGAAGATAATCTGGTGAATGTTACTCTAGCAGCATTTTCAAATGCTTCAGCTCATTCCATGTGCACTCAGATTTTCAATGTAATTCCTTTTTGTTAAGAATTGCTTTAAATATATAATCTCCTAGGTTCATTGGAGAGGTTCCAGAACTGAATGTCCTAAAGGCAAGCACTATAGGCCAGTTTAAACATGAACATACCTCCCTACCAAGAACTTAGTGAAAAGTGCTTCCTACTAGTAGTATATATTTTCAGGAGAGTGCTTGACATTCAGAAACAATTTTGGAGTAGGATTTCAACTATAGACAATGTCCAAGTTAATGCTGTATATCCCAGGCATGGTACCCATTTTTGGAGACCTGATCATCTTTGGGAGAGGTAATAATAGTGAATGCTTTTAAATATTCAAAACCTTCTGCGCTGAAATCCTTTTGCATAATTCTGCAAATTAGGTTTATTATTTCCTATTATAATGCACTGAACATAAAAAGACTGGCCAATGGTCCCACTTAGGATCATCTATAGCGCTCAAGGGGCATAAGATACTCTTGGGTTGTACACCCAAGGATACTGACTGGGGATTACTAAATTCCATCAGCCATACCTGCAGATCCCAGAGTGCGGATTTAGGGTTATTGGTCTTAAACTGGCTTTAGCTTCTTGGCTATTTTGTCAAAGTTGTAGGTGATCTGGGTCCTGTATAGGCAGCTCCCCGCCCCCGCTCCCTCCATTATTCTTGAAATCCTGAAACTGCCCTGCTAATCCTCCAATCACACTGAGCTATTGTTGAAATTGAAACATTACAGCATTATTTTTTTTATGCAAGTGGTATATTAAAATTCAGATAAGCCTGACAGACCTGTTAAATTTTTTAAACCCCCCCCTAAAAAAAAGGCCTGACCTTGCTTCATCTATGTCCCATACTGCTACATTTTTTCCAAAAGAAAAAAAGTATAATCTTTTGCAGCTGAAAAGTTACAAAACTTCCTTTGTTGACCAGAGCAGGTAAAGACATGCATGATAAATATCCAAAGATTCGCATAGGTTCTGTGTCTTTCAGGAACAATCTAGCCCTGGGTGGTCCTTGATTTTAATCACTTCTCTTACCCCTATTAGCTTAGTAACTGTGCTTTCAATGCAGTTCAGTTGCATGTGATTTATGACCTTAATTCCATTGTGATGCTGTACTTTTATCCTTCAGCTCCTTTTTCAGACTTACTGAGCTGCAAATGTATTCATCTAAATTAAGTACAATAGTCCTAAATAGACTTACTGTAAATCTGTATAGCTAGAAGATACATCTTATTAAAGTCCTCAATTTACGACCACAACTGAGCCCAAAATTTATGTTAAGAAATTTGTTAAGTGAGTTTTGTCCTATTTTATGACTTTTCTAGCCCCATTTCTTATATGAATCGTTGCAGTTCTTGAATTAGTAATACGGTTGTTACGTGAAGCTGGTTTCCCCATTGACTTTGCTTGCCAGGTTGCAAAAGGGCATTACACAATTCCAGGACACTGCAATTGTCATAAATGTGAGTCAGTTGTCAAGCATCAGAATGTAAATCATCATGTAGATCATGGGGATGTGCAGTTGTCATAAGTATGAAAAATGGTCAGTCACTTTTTTTCAGTGCTGCTGTAACTTCGGTCACTAAATGAACTGTTGTAAGTCGAGGACTACCTATATTGTGTCTTCAGGAGTTCAAGGTGGTATAGTCCCTCTCCCTACTTTTCCCAGAACAATCCATGAAGCAGAATATGCAAAGTGAATGGCCCAAAATCACCCAGTGAGCTTCTTCCAGATTATGGCTAAGAGTAGCTAGAGCCTGATTCTTCCTGTTTATAGTAGAACATTTTAACCACTACATCGGGGGTGTCAAACTGGATTTCTTTGAGGACCAGATCAGCATTGGTAGTTCTCCATGGGCCGATGGGGGGGGGGGGAACAGGACGGATGCCTCTTGCAGCACTTTACTCGCCCATTGGCCTCTTGTAGCACTTTGCCAGCCAAAAATGGGCCTCCCGAGGCCCCGTGTGGCCCATTTTGGGGCGGCAGAGTGCTGCTAGAAGCTGAAATAGGGCTACATGGCCCATTTTCGCCAGAAGAGCCACCACGAGCCGATCCTTTGATATTCCCAGGCTGACCCCTGCACTATACTACTGACTTTAGTACTGTACAGGTACCTCTTTAATGCAGATACGAAGAAAGTAAGTGCATGCATGGATTCAGTATCAATATCCACAACTCTTTTGAGTTTTGAGTAGTTTATTATGCATGCGGATGTGTACCATTAACAATGAATACCACTGGGCTTAGGTTTTAAATGACTGGGATAATGATCGTAAATACATATAGCAAACAAAGTACAACCTTGAATTAAATGAAGAATGGAGAACTTGATGGCAGTCTGTCCAATAAACTAGGAATATTAAGATGGTTTTGAATGGTAAAATCTGGATTGTTAGGTGTCATCTCATAAATCGCTGCTGCTTTATCCAGCTCCCCCTAGTTGGATACAGATTCAAATTCATGTAAGAAATACAAATTCTCCCACTTGTTTTCAGAAAGGCTAGCCCACAATTTAGGAATATTTTTGTGGGCAAGGACAGGAAGAGGCACTCATAAATGAAATAATTAAATAAATAAATAAAAATGAAATAAAACTTATGACTTGACAGCCCAGTCTTTGAGATGGGTGGCTGTGGACGTTGAATAACCATTTGCGCTTTGAATGCAATTTACTTGTAAACAGAAAACCAAGCATTTTTATTTGAAACAATAGCAAGAGTTGATAATTAAGGTCAAAGAAAAGGCCTAAGTGTTTATGTATTGAAATGTGTATTTTTAAAAAAAATCAAAGATACGAGTCTGTGATGGCTTAGCTAAGGAAGGCAAAATAGAAACATGGGGGTGGGCAGGGTTGCACTTCTGGGAATACAAATGAATCCCATCCACTACTGTATTTTTTTATATGATCCAAAACATGTTTGCCTTTGTGTTTCATTTTCTCGAACACCTGGGTGAACTTGATTTAAGTGGGAGAGGAAACCAAGTTTTCATAAAAAACAAAACGATGCCTTTGCCGATACTGGTAAGTCTTTAAATTCTTGCGCTATTTTATTTAAATCATACTTATCCCAGCTTTCCATCAAATTAAAGAAAACATAAGAACAGGCAGTAACCTATTCCAGAAACTGACCATTACAGAAGCATAACAATAGTTCCAGCAACTTTTGGGTGGGGTGGGGGGGGGGGAATAGTTTTAAGAGATATTTGTTAAGGTGTCCCTCCAAACCGGCAATTCCTATGGTTTGAACCACGCAGATGCCCACATGTAATGTCTAGTTACCAAAAGAATTAGGCGAAATTCGAAACACAGCTACATCTGGCTACAAAACACGCATCCCATTTCTTGGAGATGGGGGGAGTCTATATTAGCGTTACTTCTCAGTGGGGCGGTAAGACGGCAACTCGCCAAGTCTAGATCGGCCGCCGGGCTCGCAAGGCTTCCTTGAACTCCGCCTTTCTCAAACTTCCCGAAGAGCCGCCGTCGGTCCGTTTCTTCGCCCGGCCTGCTTTTCCAAACCTCACTTCCCTGCCTCCCTCCCTAACTCCTCCTTCCCTACCGAAACCGATCTTTCGGGATTCCTCGCTTTACGACCCTCGGCCGAGAGACCACAAAGACCCCTTTCCTCGCCGCTCCGCCCTCCCTCCCCTTGGCTCGTCACCCCTCCCCTCTAAAAGGGAGGGGGCGATGGGTTGGTGCCCCTTCCCCCGAGAACGACACGTGTAAATTTGAAACGACCCGCAAGCCGGGCTCAGAGCCAGCCCGTGGCTAGGAAGGGAAGAAAAAGACAGTGCCGTCTAAATAAGGCATCTGCTCTGGCCGCCTCCCGCTGGAAAGAATCCTCCTCAGCGGATCGGTGCGATGAAGAGGCCGGCCTTCCGGGAGGGGGGGGGGGAGGACGACACACTTTCAGGACTCGGGGGAGGGGGGCTGTGTGTGTGTGTGTGTGTGTTTGTGTGCAAAGCACGGGAGAGGGAGGAGGAGAAGAAACAAGACAAAACGAGGTCTCAACTCAAAGCCCCGACATTTCCTGCCTTCCACTGCCGGCGGCCGCCCCGCATTCTTGGCATTCCTAGGCTGTGACTCCGTGGTCGTCGTCGTCTCCGCTGAGCAGCAGCGCTTGGATGAGAAAGAGCAGCGGGGCAGGCGCGCTCGCCTCAGCGCAGTGGCCGCCTCCGCAGCGCCCGGCCCTCGTTTTAATATTAGGGAGGCAGCATTCGGTCGCCCCCCCTCCCCCCCAAAAAATCCAATGCTCCCGGTTCTCCAGCCGCCCCGCTCTCCTTCCTGAATACCGCGCTTCCTTCCCCAACTCCAAACTTTTCTCTAGCGCCCCTGCGCCTTCGGAGGGGGGGGGCGGGGAACCAAAGGCGGAGCGTTTCCCTCCCCCCTTTTTGCCGCTCCCCCGACCCAACCAATATCCCGCTTCTCCTTCCTCTCAGCCCGCCCCATCCCCTCCCCCGATTAACTTTTGCAACGAACGGACCTCTTGCCTGAAACTTTCTTCCCCCTCCGGATTGGATTCTTGTGGTTAAGACAGACGCCTGGTCCATCCGTCGTGGCGATATTTTCTTCGGGATTTCCCCCTCCCCCAAATTGTGGTGTGTGTGTGTGTTTTTCCCCTCCCCTGGTGGGGGGGGAGGTGGAGGCGAGAGAAGAAAAAAGAGGCTCGTGATTTGGCTTCTCTTTGGGAAAAGCAGCCGCATTTGGTTGATCCCAAGACATGTGAACAGGTAAGCGGGAGATGCAAGAGTTTGGAGTGGGGGTGGCGGCCTGGGCGAAAAGTTTCTGAGCCTAGCGTGCGAGAACACACTTGCCTTTGTAAGCGGGTCTCCAGTCTGTAATCTTTGCGTGCTTTGACCGACTGTGCTGCTGCTGCTGCTGCTGCTGCTGCTATTATTATTATTATTATTATTATTATTATTATTATTATTATTATTATTATTATTATTATTATT